GGTAATAAACTTACAGTTTGTTTATCCATATGATAATTTAATAAAAATTCTGAAAAAAATATATTAAGTAAAAAAAATCCATTTTTAAGCCTTGTTCAAATAATACTTACCACCCATTCTGTAGGCAATGGGATCATTATAACGACTTTGCAGTGGTTCTGCTTGAGGATTTTTGTTCTCCGTTACAAGACTTGGTGAATTGGATAAGATATTTTCATTAGTAAAAATTGTTGTACCGCTACGCTGATCTTTTTCGGTGGCTAGTGACTGAATTTTTGGAGTCATATTACTCTCTGTGGTTGGTAAAGGATTAATGCGTGCTGTTGGTTTATAATTTGATGGAGTTGATTGCGTTTCTGCACTTCCTTTTTTCAAAATACTAGCCCAAGACATGCTAGATAAAGCTGGTGATGACATAACGGGTACGTTTATCGGAGCACTTGCTGTAATAGAATTATTTGGTGTTTTAATAACCACATCATCTTGTATATTTTTCGTAGCAATATCTTCTTTTTGTGGTTCGTTTTCATTTTTAGAAACCGGTTTTGATAATGTTTTAACAACAGTGGTTTTAATACTAGAAACAGTTTCATTTTTGTATTCTTTATCAGTTTCTCCATTTTGTTTTACTTCAATACTACTATTAATATTAACGCATGGTACGTCATTCTTTTCAGCTCCGTTACAATTTTCATTTACAGTAGATACAATATTGTGCTCTATTTTAACATTAACAGGGGGTACTTTCCCGTTTGTATTTGAATTCTTTCTATTGGCAGCATTTTCGTCCACATTATCAGTGCATTGTTCTACTTTACTGTTATTTACAGTTATTACTGTGGTGACTATGTTTGTTTGTGAAGGATTGTCCTCCTCGTTAACTTGATGGAAAGGCTGCTTAACGGGCGTATAAACGTTTTGCACGCGCTTTTCGTGCGACTTGGTAGTTTGTTGTACTTTTGTACATTCTTGAGTAGGCTGAGAAAGCATAGGTGCTGCTTGTCGAACACATCTTATATTTCCTGATGGATGATGATACGGAGGATATCCATAAGCAGGTTGTGCATGAGGGTGTGTGCTTGTATGTGTATGAATATTTGGTGGATATATAGCTAGTGGAGAATAATGAACATGGCCGGAGAACTGTTGCTGTTGTGTTTGATCTGGGTACATAACTACAAAAGATAATGGTGGATGAAATTGTCCTTGCTCTCCCATATATCCTGGTTGCATTTCATTCGGTGGGTTCATTCCACGGTTGAAGTTATCTCTTCTTATTCCTCTACCTCGATTATTTCTTCTATTATTTTCTCTGTTGCAACTAACATCATGAATTTCACCACCAAGATTATATCCAGGATGGGAGTAAGTTATTGCGGGCATGAATGGCTGTATATGGGCATCTGTTGGAACAGGATAAATAGGTGGTCCCTGCCAATCACTACACATTATTTGTTGTGTATATGAAGGTGGTGGTGGCATTGCTAAATGAAAATTGAAGTTAAAAAAATATAGCTAGCCAATTACTTTTCAATAAATGCATCATGTCTATTTAAAATAATTACCATTGTGATACCATTGATTATGAAGTTGTGGAATTTCTGTTATTGAAGGAGTGACTTCAGTATTAGTTTCAACTGTATCCCATGGTAATGTTAAAGTATCATTAGCCACATTGGACTTTAAAATGCCTATTAAATGATTCTTATCACTGTCATTTAAATCATGTAAATCCAAAAATTGAAAATCAAGCTGTAAGAAAATAAAATGCTAGTTAGAATTTAATATAAAAAATTTAATATATTCTGTATGATAAAACACACACAATAATTTTCACAAGCAATTCTAGGTCAATCAATAAACAATCATCCCTTTTAGCTGATAACTGTTGTCTTTTTTTCACTGAAAAATTATCTAAATATAGATTACTATGGTTTCTATGAATTTTTAACGATTTATCGTAAACGTATGCGAGGAAAATTGTTAGAAAAATGTAACTAACTAAAATTAATACAACATATAGAATAACTGACAATCTAATCGAATAACGAATGCATTTTTTTAATATAATTACAGGACATGTAATATTATCCTTATTTAAATGAAACATCTTATTGATTATGTTCGTTCTATGATCAATAATAGTTTCAATTTTACCATGCAACCATAAGACTAACCTCAAATCCCATAACAATGAAAGAACCGTTCAGAATAATTGTAATTCTGCATGTCGCAACTAATAAAGATTATTATAGATATATCATACCTCATTTCGAACATCCATGGTTAAATCTATACGCCGTACAGAACATTAAAAATAATACCAGCAGAGAAACATGAGGCTCCGGTGATTTGTGTCGGCAATAAAAAGGATCGACGATGATATTACTAATTTTGTTTTTTATTTACGCAGAAGATATATAAAAATTGTACTTAATTATAAAAACACAATATCTGTATTATTTTTATGCAACAATAAAACAGGAAAAGAGAGTACAAACTATTAACAAATTATACAATATGAACGATTATATTTCGGCAGTTGTATAGTTGAAATGGGCTAAGCACGTTGCTTCACTGCTGTTTCTTCTGTTCGCAAGATTGGCGTCGCTACCATCATTGCTAGTACCTTGCAGGGATATTCATTGAAACTGACTTTCCCGCTCTCTTATTCCCTCCCTTTTTATATTGGTCAACGTGCGAAATTAGAACATGTAGTCACATTGAAAATGCGCATTAATCCACGAATAGAATTGTCGTCGTTTTATTTGAATTTGTTTCAATCTTGCAGCTATTACTCCTTACCGTATCGTAATTGGTAAAAAATTGATGCAAAACATACGTCGAGTATGTTCTAAAAGATAATTTATTTTTTCTAAGCATGTATGATATTTGAAATAACATTTCCTGTTTGGAGGATGGAGTAAAGAAGCAATAAAATACGTTGCGATGTTCGTAAGGAAGCTAGCTTAGTCGGTTTTTTGTTTTGAGAACAGTGAATTTCAGGGGAATAGCCGAGAACACGGGGCCGGTACTTTTAGTAGATCGTACCCTGGTAGATGTAAAGCTACCGATACGAAACTCTGCAGCTGGAAGTCTTGCTTCTAATCTTTCAACGCATGCATTATGTATCGACTGATTCGATATACCATCTATTTGACCGTATTCTTACAGTGGAACGATTATAGTTTTCTTTCATGCTAATTCGTCGATAACGTTAGTAGAACAATCACCAAGTTGTAGAACGAAAAGATTTTTTTTATGGGGAAAAAAATGGCGGCATGAGAAAATGTTGTGGCACTTCTTTATCGACCGAATTCAGTTGCCCCTGTAGATTGTCAATTCAGCTTACCTAGATATCCGTATGGTGGCCATAGCTTCGGATGGCGGTATTTTTTAATTAGATTGATAGAAATTGATTGTAAATATTTTTTTAAACAGTATTTAATCTTCAATTAATCGCTAATAATTAATAGACAACTTAATCGACAATTGTTCGATAAGAAAAAGGATCTGTTTTCAATGTTTTTAAGCAAGACGATCGTTTTTAAGTTCGAACAATTATTTTTCTATCGTTTATCGTAGAGAACGAGGTTTCGTTTAATAAAATTGCAAATTTTCAAGAGGATAAGACGATCCGAAGATCGTATCTGAATAAGAGAACCGATAAGATTCGAACCAAGTCCATTCACTTCTTCGATTGTCCATACACATAATTTACCTCGATGGCCTACATGCGAAAACCCTTTTATGCGTCATTTACGGTATTTATATTATGCACCATTAGTCGCACACGACCTTACCTTTAGTTTATACTCTGTCGCCACAAGGTGCGAGTAAAAAATAGCAACATTTTTTTTATTGCCCGATCGTATCAACAGCTCGTGGCACGCACTGAAGATTGCGTTATAAAATAACATGCTCGCGAAAGAATGGTTTACTCTAAGAAAATGATATATATATATATATTTTCACGGATACAACATGGTGCAAGCTTCGAGTTAACACTCGCGCAGATCCTTTGATTTTACGATTACACATACCAGTCACCTTTTATTTTCTCTTTTTTTTTTTCTTTTCTCGCTTGCATTTTAATATGTAGTTACAGGTCGTAGTGCTCGTCAGGGGAAACTATACGAAGCAGCAGGGTGTACTTTATCGTCCACTATCCACGGTGATACAAGACAAGAGGAAGTTGCCAGTTTTACGGGTGAAACGCGTTTAAGACCGCGTTGAATGACAAATAAATATGCTAATGGGTATTCGGGGAACTTGAAATGCCGCGCATCTTAGCTTTTGCACCGCGTCGAAAGAAGGAAGAAAGTTTAAGTTAAGTTGCCTCGGTATATACCTCCGCGGCTCTGTGCCTCGATGGAAGTGCCACGAATGGCCACGAAGTA